CGTATTGATTTCAGTACGGCCGTATTGAAGTTTCAGAAGTTAGGATAAAAAAAAAAGAAAAAAAAGAAAATGTCTGCTAGGGAACACATCTCAAGTAACCTAGGCAAAAGTTAGGACAAAGCAGCATCCCGAGCTGAAAACCGAAAGACGGCTCCAGAAGATCATTTAATCAATATGCAATCCCAAGTCATCACTTAACTTTGAAGTAAATAATAAGCTAATACGGAAAATGATTTCCTCACTTTGAATGTGCTTATTCATCAGCCTAAACCACTAGCCTACCTCGGCCAGTCATTCTTCTATAAACCATTTTTGAAAAAAAATCCTTTCTAACAAAAACTTTTTCAAAAATATATGTATATATCCCCTTCTTCTCTTTCCTCTTGACCTATATCGCATTAAGATAAATTTGAGAGATACACGGAACATGCACAGTGAACACTCACAGGAAAAGTTGGAGGTGTCCTAGAATAGAGTCTAGGTACACCTGATCTAAGGGCTAACATATCACATCTGGTACAAGCAAGAGTGCTGAACTACACAAACCTTAGGTTCAAGAAGCAATACTGAATTCGACAGGGCTAAAGGCTAACAGTCTATGTCATTAATCAATGCGCATAGATTAATTTCTTGAAAGTAAAAATAAATTTTCATTTTAAGCATTAGCATAGAAGCATCATTGCATAACATGCATATGGCACAAGCGTGCACAAAAGGGTATAAGTTCATTTAAAAAAAAAAATCCAATTCATTCCTACTTTGCATTTTCTTTTGCATTCTTGCATTCTTTGTGTGTGTCTATCCATCACTTGTTGGAGGAATCAAGAGGTCGAAGCACTCGTAAAAAAGATCAACAGCTAGACAGTGCCTTAAGAGCCAAGATCATGTAAAAAAAAACCTAGCCCTAACAAGGGCATTCCATACAAGTGGTTTCATATAGCCACCAAGAGAAGAAAGACACATCAATAGCAAGACAGGATAGAACCGGATGAGGAAGAATAATCAAGTCTATAAGCATGAAGAGGCCATCACGCCTTACTTCTTCACCAAATGAAGGATAATCCAAGAAAATGCCAAGACCACAAGGAATGGTTTCCTCATCAAAGCCAAGAGTGGCTTCCAAAATAATACTCATCAATAAAGATTCAACAAATAACATCATGGGAATGGATCCCTCCACCAATGATGACAATAAAAAGTAAAAGCAACAACATGAGAAAAAGGCAAGATTTGTAAATGTTGAAAAAAGCCGAAGCATTTAGAGAAATAGCAAAAAAGGCTAGCTTCAAAAATGAAAAAGGCGAAGCTGAAAAATGAAAATAAAAAAAAACCTACCACAAGCAGGCACTTGGAAAGGCATTACAATACTCACATGGAAGGGGCAACACCAGAATCCATGTCATCCATCTATTTCTACCCACCAACACAAGGGTACATCAAGCGTCTCCTGCCCATCCTCCTTGGGTAAGTAGTTTTTCATCCAAAAACACCAATGAGAAGACATCAAGTACAGAATCGGAAAGGGTTGCTAGATCCCCAAAACTAGTACAAGATCGGAAAGGGTTGCTAGATCTCCAAAACTAGTACAAGATCGGTAAGGGTTGCTAGATCCCTAAAACTAGTACAAGATTGGTAAGGGTTGCTAGAGCCCCAAAACTAGTACAAGATCGGTAAGGGTTGCTAGATCCCCAAAACTAGTACAAGATCGGTAAGGGTTACTAGATCCCTAATATTAGTACAAGATTGGTAAGAGTTGCTAGATCCCTAAAACTAGTACAAGATCAGTAAGGGTTGCTAGATCCCCAAAACTAGTACAAGATCGGTAAGGGTTGCTAAGGCTGAAGCCCTAAATATCAGTTCAGCCTGGAGAGGCTGAGCTCAAAATATACTCCCTCTTTAACAAGCTACAAATAAAGGAACACACTATCATGAAGTAAGAAGAAGCAGTAGGATGCATCGACATCAAGGCCAAAAGCCTAGATGGTATAAGTTTACCATCCTTATCACCCGACGGAGCATATAAACCAACACTTAGCTGCTCTTAAGGTCAAAGATACAGGTAAACACCATCTACCTGAAGGAAATGGTGTGGGGGCATCTACAGTATTGAAGTAAAGGAGAAAATTCAGAAACAACAAGTGACATGGGGCATTCACATGGATCTTGAAGTCTACATGTTTTGGTTTACCATCCTTGATACCCAACAGAGCATACAACCCAACTAAGGGCTAACATATCACATCTGGTACAAGCAAGAGTGCTGAACTACACAAACCTTAGGTTCAAGAAGCAATACTGAATTCGACAGGGCTAAAGGCTAACAGTCTATGTCATTAATCAATGCGCATAGATTAATTTCTTGAAAGTAAAAATAAATTTTCATTTTAAGCATTAGCATAGAAGCATCATTGCATAACATGCATATGGCACAAGCGTGCACAAAAGGGTATAAGTTCATACGACTCCCGTATTAACGTCAGACCCTTTTCCGATGTAAAAGGGTCAAAATACACGACGTAAAAGACCTTTTGTGTACTAGTGTCATCATCATATCTCATCATATTCACATAGTCTCCACATAGCACTTTAATTCATATCAAAACTTGTCTATTCGCGAAAGTAAACACATATTCGTACATCTCATTCAACAAGGAATACATCAGAACAATCAGAAGATAAAACAGAAAATATTAGAAATATGTCTGTTTCTCATAGGGTTCTCACAAGAACCCACAGAGCACTCTAATTCATACAATAAACATTTAAAATAGTACAATTTACTCATACAATTACCTCTTCAAACAATCTTCTCTTACAATCACCAATGCATTCCCTTAGGATTTCCCATAGGAACCCATAGAGATCTCAAATCATACATTTATTTACATATAAAAAGAGCAAATAGAAGAAAAATATATAATTGGGAAAAACCCCTCATAAATAAGCATAGAACAAATATAGGATTGGGGGCCAATCCCACTACCCGACATACATTCCCACACCCAGAGCAAGGTTTCTCACTCCCCCTTACCTCGATAAGTAGGAGCTGAAACTAAAGTAAGATCTTGCTAGTCTCCTCCTTTGGGTTCTCCTTGGTCTTCAGAGAGTGTAGAAGAAAAAGATATTAGAAGTGAAAAAAATGTCCTTTTGGGAGTGCCCGAGTGTGCTATTTATAGGAATCAGGAGTCGCTAGAACGGTCCGTTTCAAATCTGGAATGACCCGTTCTAGACTCATTCGTCATGCGTAAATTTCACATTTAGATCGTCCTGTTCCAAAACTAGAACGATCCATTCTGAAATCACATTTTACCTACAACGGCGATATTTGGAATGGCCTGTTCCCAAATCGGAACGGCCCGTTCTGGCTTCGTATTTTACTCACAAAATCATGGGTTGGAATGACTTGTTCCAGTCTAGTCTTTATAGGCTATTTTAGTAGTCTGAAACGGCCTGTTCTAGTTTGAGAACGGCCCGTTCTAGGCTACTAAAAATCAAAATATTATCAAAAATAATTTTCATAAATATTTATTATTAAAATACTAATAATTATTAAAAACCTTTAAAACATCCTATAAAACCCATTAAATAACTATAAGAAAATAATCTCCATAAATATAAAAATAAATAATAATTAACCATTATACAATTAGAAAATTCGGGATGTTACATCAAGAGAACCAAGGCTCTAGATACCAAAAATGATGGAATAGCCTTGAAGAATGGTTGACGTTCTTCAAGCTCCACCTTCAATCCCTTTCTTCTCTTGAGGTTAGACACGCGAATGATGAAGAATCACCTTTGAAGAAACTCCAATGATGAAGAAGCATTAAGGAGTGCTCGGTTACTCCTTGAAGAGGTAGAAAGAGACAAGGTTCCAAGACCCAAAGGTGGAAACCTTTGTGAAGGAACTAGGAGAGAAAGTTCTCCACGGCAAAGCATACTAAGCACACAAAATATAAAAACACATTTAAAACAATTTATTTGCTAAGCTCTATTACATAGCTCCATTTCATAGCATTTTCTTGACTCTTCTTTGCCATTGTTTTTGTGCTCCAAGTTGTTGTTGTATACTTGTTGTGATCATCAAAACTCCTTGAAGATTCAAGCTCTCCTAAGCTCAACACAGCACCCAAAACATCAGATACAAAATCAGATTTATTTTTGGAGCAGGAATCAAAATCAGATACAGAAACAGATTCAAAATCAAACTCAGAAGCAGATTCAGTGCATGCAAGAGAATTATATAGATCAGATAGAAAACAATGTTTCTTATCATGCAAAGAATAAAAATCAGAAGCATACTCATCAACAACATCATCATGTATCTCAGCACGAAAAACAGAATGGTCTTCAGATGGATGTTTCATGGCATCAAGAATATTAAAATGGAGAATACTATCACCAAATTCCATGGACAATGTACCAGCATACACATCAATCTTATTTTGGGCTATTTTCAAAAATGGTCTACACAAAATGATTGGGGCGGAACCATGAGAGAATCCCTCCTCCTTGTCAAGCACATAGAAATCAGCAGGAAAAATTCCATGGACAATGTACCAGCATACACATCAATCTTAGTTTAGGCTGTTTTCAAAAATGGTCTGCCTAAAATGATTGGGACAGATCCATCGGAGAATCCCTCCTCCATATCAAGCACATAGAAATTAGCAGGAAAAATCAGTTCACCGACCCGAACTAAGACATCCTCAATGAAACCTGTAGGGTGGGAGACACTTCTATTTGCCAATTGTATCTCCACACCCGTAGGTTGCATAGGACCAAGAGATAGAGATTTAAAAATGGACAGAGGCATGACATTTATAGAAGCACCCAAATCAAGCATGGCATTTTCAAAATTATTATTACCAATAATGCAAGGTATAAAGAATGTACCTGAGTCCTTACATTTTTCAAGAATGTGCGGAACAGATTTACCTATCAAAGCAGACACATTTCTGCCCATGCTAATTCTCTCATTTCCCTTCATTTTCCTCTTATGAGTGCACAACTCCTTCAAGAATTTTACATATCTCGGGATTTTCTTTATGGCATCAAGCAGAGGTATGTTCACCTCCACCTTTCTAAAGGTCTCCAATATATCCTTATCCACCTCTTCCATTTTTTTTCTTGGAATCAATTTAGGAGGAAATGGAAGAGGGATAGGAGGCTGCTGCAAATCAGAATTGGTGCTGGAAGAAGGTTCACCTGCATGAAAATTTTGGGCACCAAATGGTTCATCATTTTGTTCTGGTGCAGATGTTGGAACTGGTACTGGTGTAGTTGCTGATGGAGGTGGAGGTACTGTAATGGGTATGTCAATCTATTTCCCCGACCGCAATGTGATGGCACTCACATTCTTTGGATTCTTCACAGTCTGTGAAGGAAACTTATCTGAATTTTGAGACTAAGCCTGATTGAGTTGAGTAGCCATCTACCCCATCTGATTGGTCAAGCTCTGAATGGAAGCTCTGGTCTCTTGCTAGAATTGAATGTTATGAATGGTCATATGCATAAACCCCTAATCCAATGAAGGATTAGAGGAAGTAGAAGGTTGAGCTGGTTGGGCTGCAGGTGCAAGAAGAGGAGGTCTCTGTTGAGGAGGCTGGTATGAAAAAACTTAAGGGATGGTTCTGGAAAGGTGCCTGATTTTGCTGCTGCTGAGAGTTTCCCCACCTCAAGTTAGGATGATTCCTCCAACCAGGTTTGTATCTATTGGAGGACAGATCAAAATTTTGTTGTTGTTGCTGCGCTAGTCTGTTATTGTAGATATTTGCAGCATAGGCTTGAGCAGCATGAACATCAGAAGGTTGCTGTAATGATGGACACGAATCTGTATGATGGTCGTTTGACGTGAAAATGCCGCAAACCCTTGCCACAGATGTAGATGAAGATGAAGATTTCTGGTTCATGGAAAGTTGAGTGACTAAACTGACCAAGGTATCAAGCTTCCCCTCAAGCTTCCTATTTGCAGATGAAGAAGAATCAGTAGTTGCATCGTTAATTCCCCTGAGTACAATAACATCATTCCTGGCGCTGAACTGTTGAGAATTGGAGGCCATTTTTTCAATTTTCTGACTGGTTTAGCTCCATCCTCTAAGAGTACCCTATGCATGAAAGTGGATGGGCTGATACCAGGAATGTCTACTAGGGTCCAATCGATGGCTTTCTTATGCTTTTTCATAACGTGCAACAATTTCTCCTCTTGAACAGCATCAAGGGAGGTGGAAATGATCACTGGAAACTTCTCATCATCCTCCAAGTAAGCATACTTGAGGTTTTCTGGTAGAGGCTTTAATTATGGAATGGGTGCTGGTTGAACAGTAGAAGGAACTAAGGGTTCCACAGCATGTACCTCATCCTGCAAGTCAGACTTGTTGAGCTTAGGAGAGCTTGAAGCTTAAAGAGTTTTGATGATCACAACATGCAACAACTTGGAGAGCACAAAAACAAAGTTAAAGAAGAGTCAAAGAGAATGCTATGAACTGGAACTATGTAATAGAACTTAGGAAATGAATTTTTGTAATTGTGTGTGCTTTGTGCATTGAGCAAATCTTGTCTAGGATTAAGTAGGGAGTAGATGATGATGAGTTAAAAACATTGGAGAGTTATTTTGAGGCTTAAAATGAAATTTTAAGAACTAACTCAAAATAATCGATTATTGTTAAATATAATCGATTATTTCAGCAAATGGGCTAAGTGGCATGCCTTGCTGTAATAATCGATTATTTGCCAAAATAATCGATTATTTCAGAAACAACTCTCTGGAATAATCGATTATCCAGCTAAATAATCGATTAAATTGTTCTTGGTTGATTTCCAGAAATCTGAAGAACAAAATAATCGATTATTCTTTAAAATAATCGATTATCTGACCTATCAATCTCAGGATCAAATGGATGCAAAAAACTTGGGTTGCTCCTAGTCATGCACTACATGCAACACATGCATCAAGACACGTGAACAGTAGGGGTAAAATGGGAATTTCCATGAAAGCTCAGAAAACATCAAGTAAATGCACCAATATCATCCTAAAATCATTACAAACTACCACAAAAAGTTTGAGAACAAAATTCGAAGCCTAGCTATATGAACTACCTAAGAAAAGTTTGGAAAAATAGTGAAATAAAACTTCAAAAATAGAAAAAAAAATAGTAAATGACCTTTTCTTGACAATCTAGCTGGGGCCACACAGCATATCAATGTGGGTTTGATAGATCTTTTTTTTCTACACAAAATAAATTTTTTTTTGCCTAATTCCGATAACCAGAGCCAAAGTTATTGCCCTTTGAAGTTTTGCTGAAAACAATTTTTAAAAATTTTGGTATCTCCAAATTTTGACCAAACTATGTGCCCTAGCTGTTTTTTACACAAAATATAAGTTGAAAGATGTTACCACACAAAATTTGAGGCAAAAATAACAAGTCTAGCTATCAAAACCAAAAATCACAATTAATTGGAAAACTCAGCTACTATTCTGCACTATTCACGCGCACCAAAATTGCACCAGATTTTGCACCACAATTGGAACACTTCCACACCATTTTCCCACATTTTTGGCACCTGAACAAAAGAGTAGTAGACAGCCAAAACAGAGTATGCCTACACCGAAACAGAGCATGCACCAAATACGCACCAAAACAGAGCAGAAAATGCACCAGAAATTTTGATGTCTACACTTATGGACGAATTGAAACTCAACACAACACAACCCAACAATGATTTAGCACACCAAATGGAATCAATATAATTGGACAATAAGCTATGAAATGCAATAAAGATCAATTATCACAAACACATAACAACAAATGCACCAAAAAACCAAATTCGAGTTACTGTTCCATTGGTCTAGTGTTCATTGGTTCTCTCTAATTGCATCAGACTTAACAACATGAATTCTTCAACTGAAAAACTTGCTTGCTAGACATGTAGGGACTAATAACAAAAACAATTACACAACATAACATGCAATATCACACGAAAATGCAAGCATCACTAATACACTGAAACTGATATACACAAAATACACAAACACACAACCTTTTACAGAAACCAATAGTCCCTGGCAACGACGCCAAATTTGATCGAAGCCGTATCCGGTCAAATAAAAACAATGAAATGCAGTACTAGGAAGTGACTCCTAGGTCGTCTCCCAAGGACCATTTTTTCTCTGACAAAGGCTTAAACACGAAGGGGGGGTTTGGTTCATATTTCTTTTTTGTTTATAAAACAATAAAAAGTAGATAACACAGCAAGTAAAATAGATTGACTCCTTGTTCGGATTGTAACTCTCTTATCCTTGGTTCATAATGAGATTACTCTATTAACCACTTAATCCTTGTTCCATTCGAGTTAACCAACTAAGCGAAGATTAACCCAAGATTTCCCTACACGAATTAAGCAAACGTATACAACATCAACCTCTTCACAGATTAAGCTATTGTGGCATTTAGCACAGCCCATTAAGCATGGACACGTTTATACAAAGATTAAATGAAGAAGAACAAATCAGAACAGAGTTATACAAACATACCCAACCTCAAACAGAGATTACAATCCATAACAAGAAGCCAACCTAGGGGTTTTAGCCTTCCATTAAAACAAAAGTAGATATAGAAACGAAAATGCAAGGATAGGAGAGAAAAACGTAAATGGAAAATCTATATTCTTCAATGCAAGGGTTCAGTTCAGATACAAAACGTAAAATACATATAAGAGAAGAGGAGAGTAAAACGAAAATGGCAGCTAAAGAGAGCAAAACATAAAACCCAGCTACCAGAGAGAAAAACGTAAGAAAAAATAAAGAGAAGGCAACCCAACGTGGTCACATCAAGTCTGAAGGTTGGTGGCTGCCCTAGGACCCTAAAAAAAACCTAGAAGAGTCAACATGGACCCCCAAGTTAGGTTTGACCTGAAAATACAATAAAAATAGAATATAAAATGAAATTAAATGCTGAGGTGGAAAATGGTGCAGCAGTGACATAGTAGATGACGTGGAAGCTCCTTTTGAAGTCCAAAAATTAGTTCCAAGCCCAAATAATTATTAAACTGCCCTGAAAATAAAATTTGGAATAATTAGATTCAGAAATTTCAAATTAGTTAAAATATGAATTCCCGGTCTAATTAAAGCCAAAATAGAAACCAATGAAGAATATCAACAATTAAGCACAAATCAGAGATTAAAATAAGTACAGAAAGGTAAGAAAATAAGGGAAAATAATTACTCATCACCATATCAACTTCATTGACTTAATGAAGATGGGGACATAATAGTGGATAAACAAGATAAAGTCAAGTTTTCAATGGGTAACTATGAAGATCAAGTGGTTTGTGACATAGTACCTATGGAAGCTTGTCATATTTTGTTAGGAAAACCATGGAAATTTGATAAGAAAACCACACACAATGGTCTTACTAATGAAATAACTTTCACACATAAAGAAGAAATTTGTACTTCATCCTTTATCTCCTTTTGATGGAATCATGCCAAGGTCAAGAAGACCAAGAGGTGATATATTAAAGGACCCAAGAGGAATGGGTTAAATTTGAGGACCTTTTAGATCATTTGTACATAGTAATTCTTGTATAGGTTCATTTTACCTTTGTATTTGTGAGACACTTTCTTTCCTTGGATATATGAGATTCTTTAAAGAATTTAGGGTATGCTAATTAGAGACTTTTACTCCATTTGACCTTGTATTAAGGGTCATTTATTTTTGTATTTTTAGTAGTAGAAGTGGGGTGACAAATAGCAAGGTGTGTAGGTGTAATTAGTAAATGGGCCAGAGTTGGGTCTAGGCAAAATTTTACATATTGGGCTTGTTTTGCTCCATATTTTCCAAGGAATTGATTTAGCCAGGCCTCACCATCATTTGGTGAACCTAACTAAACCAATTCCAAATTATTTGGCTTGGATCAAATATAGAACCGAGCCCATGGCCGCCCATCCCTTCCCTTGGTCAGATTTACTTCTTCTCCTTTGGACCTTGGGAAGTTTGTGCTACAAGCTTCTAACTTAGCTTGTTTTCCAAGATACTAAGTTAGAAGCTTGCTCCACAAGCCTCCCAAACCATGGTGGATGGTCAAGTTAAGCCAACCATGGTTCTCTTGAACCATGGTTAACCTAGCTTGCTTCACACGCTTCCCTACTCTATATAAACATTCCTTCTACATTTGTAATCACTTTTGAGATTTATGAGATCATAATTTTCACAAAATTATCTCTATTCAAGAGTCACAAAAATCATGGAGAAGAGTTATATCCTTAAGAACCTTCACTAAGGGATCATTCCTTTGTGCCTTGGTTTCCTAATTCCTTTTCTTCTTCAAAAAGAAATCGAGCCTCCTTGGTTGCTTCTCAAGCTTTGAAGCTTGGTTCCTTGCTTCCGCATTCAAGTCTTAACCTCAAGAGAAGATTGGACAAAGGAGATGAAGCTTGGAAGAGATCATCAACCACTCCTACAATCCATTTCCATTAGTTTTTGGATAAGGAATGGGTGCAAAAGAGTTTGAGTTCATGTGTTGTACCTGTGTTGTTAGTCCCTAAAAAGGATGGGAAATGGAGAATGTGTTGTGATTGTAGGGCTATTAACAACATCACAACAAAGTACAGGCACCCTATCCCAAGACTTGATGATATGCTTGATGAATTACATGGTGCTACCATATTTTCCAAAATAGATCTTAAAAGTGAATATCTCCAAATAAGAATAAAGGAAGGTGATGAGTGGAAAACTGCTTTTAAGACTAAGTGTGGATTGTATGAGTGGTTGGTCATGCCTTTTGGGTTGACAAATGCACCAAGTACATTCACGAGGCTTATGAATCATGTCTTACGAGATTGTATTGGTAAATTTGTAGTTGTTTATTTTGATGACATCTTAATATATAGGAGTGAAAATGATCATTTAGGACATCTTAGACAAGTTTTGATGATTCTTAGGAAAAACCATTTTTTCTCCAATGTAGAAAAATGCACCTTTTGTGTAGATCATGTGATTTTCCTAGGATTCATTGTTATAAAAAATGGGGTTTAAGTTGACCCCGAGAAAATCAAAGCCAT